CCTTTCCTCAATCAATTTGGAGCCCTCATCTAGTGGTTCCAAGCCCAAATTCAACACAGCCCAGTCAGCACAATCAAAATCCAAAGCAAAGGCTAAGCCCATTTCTCCTCCTGTTCCAAAGCTCATCAAAGGTCAAGACCAAATTATCCAGACAAGAACTGCTCCGTTAGCCCGACAAATCACAGATCAAGCTGAAGCCCAATCCACTTCCAGTTCAACACCATTCAGAAGAAGGATCAGTCAGTGCACACTCTTCTGAAGAATCAACTAATCAGTATTCAGGTCCTGAGTTTCAAGATGCTCAAGACCCGTTTGCCTAATCAACATAGGAATCCCATATAAATACAATTAGCTTCAGTCACTACTCTTTTGAGAAAAGCTGCCAATTTGTTTTATATTGATTCCTTTATTCACATGTTCCACCGAAAGTGATGAATAGTAAAAGTTACTGTTCACTGTCACAATTCACCCAATCACTTTTAGTAAAAGGCTGTACCAACTGTGTAATCACCCCACCGAAAGCATCCGACAGCATCTCCTTTACTTCATGATCTGCCAAGCTGCTTTCCGAAGTCACATGCTCACTGTCTACTTTTATTCTATATATTGTAATCAATTGTAGGCATTCAGGCATTCGTCAATTTTTTCTCCCTTCATTGTTGTATGAAACCAGAGTGTGCTGAGTGCTCTTAAAATTCTCCCTTTGCACTAGTTAAGATCCTTGCAGTTGCTACAATTGTAATTGTAAGTTATTTTGAATGTTATGTTTTAATTAAGTTTTAATTAAATATTTGTTTAACTAAATTCATATTTTAATATGTGCATTCCAAATTCTGTATCTTAGTGTTGTTACCCTCTTGTAATTCATCATCTTCACTCTGTTAATCTGCTTCTAAAGAAATTTCGAAATTTCTCAGTGAAATTAGAGAATTTTTGTAAAAAATTAAAATTTTTCTGAGTTGGGCAAATTTCTCTAAATCAAATTTTTTTTCTGTAGAAATGCTGAGAAACCTTAAACTACTATGAAATATTGTATTCCGTTATCTTATAAATAATATGACTTACTTTATAAAACTTTCCCATGAAATTTACATCTATAACTAAGCAAAAAATTAAAAACATAACGCAAACTAATTTAAGAAATTAGAGTTTCCCAAATATTTTTTAAATAAAATTAATTTTAATTTTATTATATATATAAAATGTCTAAAATATCCATTTTCTTTGAGTGCATCTAAATGATAAATGTCTAAGCTTACCAACTGCTGCAGAACTAAATGTAGTCCACACCATCAGCCACACTATGGTTCCCCATGATTTATAGTCTTGTTAATGGCCGTCTCCGACTATCATCAAGTACTGTTTGCTCTTTCCAATCGAAGTGTACTCTTCATATAGTCTCAACTACATAAATCATTGACGTATCCCGTGTTAGCAGTATGTGTTTTGGGGCCGCAGCCATCGCATCACTGATGGTCGATTGAAATTCCCACTTTCGTCCTTGTTCACAATCACCATATTGTTCACCTTCACTTGAACCGCCCTCACTCGTTTGCAATAACTTTCTTTCACTCACCGACTCATAAACCTTCCGATGTTGGCTCAACATTTCCAAACCCAAAATGACCATTTTTGGAAAACATTGACTCTCTTTCTGCTAGCCACCTGTCTTTTCTTGTTTTAGGAACGTAACCGTACTTAAAACAGGGCAAGAGATACGCTGTACAACTTGTTTCCATTTCGAAAAGGACTAAAAATGTTTTTGAATGCAGAAGTGAGTTGTGGCTTTAAAAGCCCATCCGAACCATGTTTGATGGTTGGTTATAATGACACTAAGGCAGAGGTATCGTGTATCATCGGATGTTAACTTGAAGGGACGTAGAATCCATGGATTGAATAGTGGTCGCCAAGAAAATCCATGTTTGAGTCGAGGAGGGTATGGCGCAATGCTTTGAGATCACAAATGGTGGTGTTGAGAGAGCCCATTGGAAGTGCAGTAGCCTATTGACCATGAGGGAAATACTGTCTTGTTAGGGAATAACGAATCGAAACCGGGCGTAGTTGTATATAATGGAAGATTGTTTGTTTGGTAACAGGAATTGGCAGAAAGAAAGGGGTTAAGGGATGGAATTGCAAACGCATCTGGTGAGCTAGAGTATTTTTGCAAGTGGAAAGAGAAGAAATAGGAGGGCGAGAAAGAATCTCTCTCTTTACCTGTACAATGAGAAGAGGAGAAGAGGTGAAAGGAAAAGAAGAGAAGCTGTGAGGGTGGAGCCGAGAGAGAGAAGGAAAGAGGCAGCCACCATATGTTCATAATTCTGCCAAAAGGAACCCCTCTCTTGCCTCAGACTTGGGAAATTATAGGGTTTTTATCTATTGTCCAACCTAACCATCTTCTTGCTCTTGCCAAGACTCCATAGGTCCACTTGTCATGCCACTACTTACACAAATCAAAACCCTACCAGAAATTCTAATGGTCCAAAGCTTAGAAGCATGGACAGTGACGGACAAGGAATTACAATAGGGGTTTTTTTGCTGGAAGTGATGATAAAACAGTGGGTTGCAGATCTGGTATGTAGGGGGAAAAAGATGAGGTTTTAGAGTTACAGTATTGCCCTCATTGTAGTCGACAAAGGAAAGGGACTGGGGTATTTTTTGTCCAAATTCTAACCTTCTTTAGTCATTGGCTAAAGGCGGCCATGTATAGGTAAATAGTTATCATAAATATACTTCCTATTACTCTGGTTTCGGTTTTGTTTTATGCACCATGTCAACTTTTAGTTCTCAATGGTGATCATTTCAACCCTATCTTGATTAAGATTATGATTCCTGTAACTTCATGCAAAGAAGTCCTTTCTGCATCATTAATGATAAATTTCTAGTCTAGCTAAGATGTTGCTCACATGAAGTAGTTTTGTCTCTATGATTCATCAAAGTTAAGTTGAATTTGAGTCATCTTTGCCTCAATCTCTACCTCTTTGTAACTAAGAACTATTATCACACAGCTTTACCTCTGTCATTTCCACTTCCTCTCATGAAGTGATCTTGAGCGTGGAAGTCCTGTTGTTGCCACTCTATAGTAGTGCTTTGCATTTTCTGGCTTCAGTGGCCTTAAACTGAGCTCTGGCTCATTTATGCAGCTCTGATTTTGCTGTAAGCGAGCAACTGTGGACTGCCATTATCTAATGGCATTTAACATGTTTTTGACATCATCTATGAAGCCTATGGAACATCTTGACAATTGCTTTCACATGAATTCATTCAACTCAGAATCTCTCGAGTGTTTTCTAAGATTTTCAATTTGCCTTTATTATCACTGATACAATCACCACAGTCCACGATTGTTGCATGGTGAATGACTTTTCTACTCTTGAGTTCTGATATTTTATTTTCTTTGCCGTCCTTAATTATACAGTTGTAGATTTAAAGTTGTATTTTGTTTATCATATGTATTTTTTCCACTAGGTTTTATTAAATTTTATATTCTTAATGTCTTTTCTGTGTCTCTTACAAAATGGAAAAATAGATAATCTTTTCTGCCTAACATCCGTTATATGCATAAGCCGGATTGTTACCCATCGCCACTATTTACATAAATGTTTACAATGGTTGCCTTTTTTTGGAGCAGGGATGGCTACAATGACTTCAACACATTCTACATGCAAGTAAGCATTGTGACATTAGATGTTATTTGTTGGATTCTATAAATTACAAAGTATCAATTTTGCTGGAGTTATTTTGATGATTCAAGTTGCAAAGCAAAATTTGTGTTGGACTCATCAGTTAGCATTGCTGCTGATTGGTCGTTGGTGTCAGCATTAACACATTTTTTTGTTGGTCTAATTAATTTACCACCACCATTGCTAGTGATTGTTCCTTCTCTCTTATTGTTGAATTGAATGTCAGCAAGTTTGTTTTCCTTTGAGTAAATGTTTAACCTTTGACTGCTGTAGGTTTGGTTTGACTAGTTTGATTTGTCTACTTTTTTTTTACTTGGACTTGTGTTTAGGCAATGCCTTATTGATTGTATGTGAAGATTAGTTGGTAAAAAGAAGAATGTAACCTCAGCAAGACATAGGGACTGAGGAGAACAGTTCATCTGCGAAACTACTGCACAAGGAAGAACACTTGGAAATATTGTTTTTTGGTTACAGTTTTTGTGAACATTGAATTTCTACGGAGGGAACTATAGAAAGTGTTGTCTATGGGATCTAAGACCAGAATGCTGTGACTTTTCCTGACCTTAATGCACCCCCACAGACCACATGCTTTTCTTTCATTTAAGCATGTTCAGCTTGGCTCACTTTCTGTTTATGTAATTTTAATTATTGCTTAAATATATGGCCTCATTTTAGGAATTATAATTTTGTCAAATGTCAATACCAATAAACATCATATTTTTAGTTTTATTTATTGATCTGAGGGTTGTGACACAACCATAAAATTTGTGGATCACTTTTCTTAATTGTTTTTTTGTACATGGATATCAAAAGTGCACATAAGTTAAAACTGTTTAATAAATGAGATCCAATTCATTTGTTTTTTCAGAAAATGAAATTATATGCATTAGTAGTAAAATATAGTCAAATTGTTTTCCCCTAAATCTTTGATATGTTATGTGATAGTTCACATTTTTATTTTTTTCATTTTATTTTTTTCCCTAGAGCAAAATTTTGGGCACAATTTTTTGTGGGATCATTGAGAAGCTAGAAATGCAGTTTAAGCTGTTATCTACTAAGAGTTAAAGCATGTATGAGTGTGTGGTGTAACTGGTGGAAATGGTGGAGGTGATGGCTGTGACCAGCAATACCAAGTGGTGTAAATGTGCAAGAGTAATGTTGTGTTGTAGTGACAGTGTCATTAACTTTGCATGCCTGTAGTTTCCTTGGTATATGCATTTAAAGAGCATGAATGTTTTTTCCGCTATGGTCTATAGACATTTATGGAAGCTCTAGGTGCTGAACAAGTGTCTGAAAAAAGGAGCCCACTAACTTTATGTGACAATTTTGTTGACACTCTTGATTTTGCTGCTAACTCAATCTTTATTCATTCTTTACTTGTTTCTTTGCAATTTGTGAAAGCCTTGTCGATTTTGTTTCAAGCTAAGTCTTTGTTATTATAGTTCTTCCCCTTTCTCCTTACTTACAGGCGGCATCTGGGACTAAAGGGGGTTCCAGTGGTTCTCCAGTAATTGATTGGCAAGGCAGGGCAGTGGCATTGAATGCTGGGAGCAAGTCATCAAGTGCTTCGGCATTTTTTTTGCCTTTAGAAAGAGTGAGTATCTTTTCAATTATTTATTGTGATTTCTATGTCATGCTTCTTTTTTGATAATATTTTACAATTCTTGTTATTTTCTTCTTTATAGTTTGATTTTTTGTCTTGTTATGCGTGCTACTTTTATTGGTTCATCTGGCATGCATATTGTCTTGATGCAAATTTACTTTTATTGTTCTTTTCATTGCTTTAATTTTCTCTACACACTCATTGCTATTCTATTAGATTTTAAGGAACATTAGTTGTCAATATTCTATGTGAAGCTTGGCATTGTGAGATGCCAGTCTCATATGTGCTTGAATTATCTAAAACCATCCACTTTGTATTCTAGAGATTTGATCCAATTGATTGGTTGATGCCATGATGATTTAAATGTCATAGTTTCTAAGCACTCATCTCATGGTTATACTGTTTGCAGGTTGTAAGGGCTTTAAAGTTCTTCCAGGAGGGAAGAGATTCATTTTGTGACCAGTGGGAGGCTGTTACTATTCCTCGTGGTACACTTCAGGTTTGCTAATTCTTATCCTTGCAGACTGTAGAGCTTTACTTTCATCAGAGCTCCCGTTTGTTTGGTTTCTGTTGAAACTGCATAGAACAGAGAATAATACATATTCTTGTGGATATTTGGCCAGATTTCCAAATTGTATTTCTTTTTTAGGCTTGATGTTATGATACATGCCAGACACCTCCTTGGAATAAAAGAATACCCCATTTAGTTTGCCAACTCTTTTCCTTTTTATTTTATTTAATATGGTTTGCTCCTTGTGATTGTGCTACTGTAAATTCAATGATTTTTAAATTTTGAGAATCTTCCATCTTGCAATTTTTGTACTCTGTGAGTGCTTTAACCTCAGCATCTGTACATATAAATAAATACCTAAGAATCTTCTCTCGGTTTGGTTTCATTTTTCTTTATAACATCATTCTATTCTATATTTCTACTTGACAATTCTTTATGAAGATTTGGCATCTGGTCCATAAAATATGCAGTTGTTAAATCGTAACAGTTATTTCTCCTTTTTCTACAATACCTGATTCTTGTTGGTTTTTTGTGGATGATTCCATGCTCAAGGGTATATTCTATTATATGTTGTCATCCTAAAATATTATGTGTAGTGTAGGTCTAATTGGTTATTCCTTTAGTGTTTAGTTTAGTAGCACTATATTTCTTGTGATACATTTAATGTGTGCATATAATGGTAGAAATTCAAAGATCATAGGGTAAATTTGCTTTACCCGATTGTGGTTTGGTCAAATATAAACACATTAACTCCCTGTGGTTTCTGGACTACTGTGCATTACTTACCTTTGTTAATGGCAATGATAAAATGACTTCTTCTTCTTCTTCTTCTTAATACTTGTAGAATAAGATCAGAGTCTGTAAACCAAAAAATATTCTTGCAAATAGGATCACCCCCCTGCATATTTCTGTTTGGCATGTGTGTGCAATTCAAGATTTACTTCTGTATAAATTGGCTCTCGTAATTCATGATATAGGTGACGTTCCTGCACAAAGGATTTGATGAGACACGTCGCCTTGGTCTCCAAAGTGATACAGAACAGGTACTTAGGCCTGTGTGGAAACCTGCATTCTTTTGTTTCATTGGTTAACAATATAATAATTTGAGATTCATTAACTCTTTAATGAGTGTTTTTGACTGGATTAGATGGTGCGCAATGCATCACCGGTTGGGGAAACTGGAATGCTTGTTGTTGATTCTGTGGTGAGTATACTTTCTTCAGTGTGTTAGAATTAATTCACTAGATTTTTGTCCTCTCTTTAATGTCTGCTATCTTTCTGAGCCTCTTCAGGTGCCTGGTGGCCCAGCTCACAGCCTTTTGGAGCCTGGTGATGTGCTTGTTCGGATAAATGGGGATGTAAGTATTTCTTCAACTGTGTACCACATACATATTAACTCCATTTGTGTGTCTTGTTTACTTCCTATTATGTTTTTTATATTGAACATTTATTTTTTTCCAAGCTGCATTTTCTATTTTTAATGAAAATTTTGAACAAATATAAACTTATTGTTCTTTCTCTATGTGCTCCTCTTGCCTTTTTCTTCTTCAACTTTTTTGTTTTCTTACTTATTTAAAAATTTAGTTGTGGCTATCTTTGCAGGCTCCAGCTTGCAATGATTATTTTTTTCTTTTTAATTTTGCCTTGTTGGACTTGTTTTGTGGATGCTAAAGGAATTTTAAACTAAAACATGAAATTTTGAGTTAAACTTCTAAATTATGTTGAACTTTATCAGTAGGGGGTGAAATTAATTTGTGGAAGTTTATCAAAGCTGAAATTTAGATTTATAATTTTGTAAAATTTCTTTTCTTATTTTACATTTGTTTCATAATAGTGAAGTTTGGGATTAGACTTTTTGAACAGCCTTTGTTTCAAGTAACCTGTTTCAATTTTCCAGAAACCAATGCATGCTGATTTCTGGATTGTGGAATTCGAGTCATAATTTTCATGTTGAATTTCTGAAATATGACCTGCATGACTTGTCTTTTGATATATCAAAATTGTTAGTGCAGGTAATTACTCAGTTCCTAAAATTGGAAACATTACTTGATGACAGTGTGGACCGAAACATTGAATTACAGATTGAAAGGGGTGGCACACCATTGACTGTAGACTTGACGGTGAGCGACATGACCCCATAAACTGTCTTCTACATCGGTCTGACACCACCATACAGTGTCCTCTACAACGTTATGACACCACCATCCAGTGTCTTCACCAATGGTCTGACACGACCATACCGTGTCTCCTATCCTCTTTTATTTTTATGTATTTTCTTGTTTTGTTACTCTCTCCAAACTCAAGTTGGTTAGTTCCTATCCCCCTTGAGTTTGCGGGGGGCTGTTAAAATTCACCTACTACACACCTACCACTACCACCTACTACACACTCACCTACTTCACCTACTCTCCACCTACTCCTCACCTACTCCATACCTACTACACACTCACCTATTCTCTTCCCACATCCTCTCTTCTATATATAGGAATCATGAATCATTGTAATAGAAAAAAATACATCAATCAATAATATCAATCATAAATACATATTTCATTCTCTCTATTTTTCTATACATCAAATTTAACAACTTTTATGTACAGCAATCTGTTAGAGTGCATTGAAATCCTATTTTTCTGAATTGTTTTTTCTTATGGAATTCTTGTAGGTACAGAGCCAAATGAGTTCACTTTTGCGACTGTGCTTACTTCTTGTACGGGTGCTCTTGGGATTGAACATGGAAAGCAAATCCATTCTCTTATAATCAAGAGCAGGTTTGAATCCCACATATATGTTGGGAGCTCACTTCTTGATATGTATGCCAAAGGTAGTAAAATCCATGAGGCTCAAGGAGTTTTTGAAGGCTTGCCTGAAAGAGATGTTGTTTCTTGTACTGCTATAATCTCAGGTTATGCTCAATTGGGTCTTGATGAAGAGGCAATAGAACTATTTCGTAGGCTGCTAAGGGAAGGAATGACTTGCAATTATGTTACTTATGCAAGTGTTTTGACTGCATTATCTGGACTTGCTGCAGTGGATCATGGCAAGCAACTTCACAATCATGTCCTCCGCTCTGAGATGCCATCTTATGTGGTTCTTCAAAATTCTCTTATTGATATGTACTCAAAATGTGGAAACCTCACTTACTCAAGAAGGATCTTTGACAACCTGTCGGAGAGAACTGTCATCTCATGGAATGCAATGCTTGCGGGTTATAGTAAACATGGTAGGGGAAGGGAAGTGGTTGAGCTTTTCGAACTGATGCGAGAAGAAAAGAAGGTCAAACCTGACAGCATTACATTTTTGGCCGTTCTATCTGGTTGTAGCCACGGAGGTTTTGAAGACAGAGGGCTGGAAATTTTTGATCAGATGGTTAGCGGGAAAGGTGGTGTTGAGCCAGAGATTGAGCATTATGGTTGTGTTGTAGATTTGCTAGGGCGTTCTGGTCAAGTAGAAAAGGCTTTTGGATTTATCAAACAAATGCCTTTTAAACCAACTGCTGCCATTTGGGGTTCACTTTTAGGTGCTTGTAGGGTTCACTCAAATGTTGACATTGGGGAACTTGTGGCTAAGAGGCTCTTAGAAATTGAACCTGAAAATGCTGGGAATTATGTTATCCTTTCTAATCTATATGCTTCTGCAGGGAGATGGGAAGATGTAAGAGGTGTAAGGGAGTTGATGAATGAGAAAGCTGTGGTAAAGGAACCAGGAAGGAGCTGGATTGAGCTTAACCAAACCCTTCATACTTTTCATGCCAGTGATCGAACACATCCCCGAAAGGAAGAGGTTTTTGAAAAAGTGAGAGAATTGCTAGTAAAGATCAAGGAAGCTGGTTATGTTCCTGATTTGAGTTGTGTTTTACATGATGTGGATGAGGAACAAAAGGAGAAGATACTCCTAGTCCACAGTGAAAAACTGGCTTTGGCATTTGGGCTGATTGACACTGCTGAAGGAAAGCCTGTTCAAGTCATGAAAAACCTGCGAATTTGTGTTGATTGCCATAATTTTGCCAAGTTTGTGTCAAAGGTTTACAGAAGGGAAGTGTTTTTGAGGGATAAAAATCGATTCCATCATATTGTTGGAGGAATCTGCTCATGTGGAGACTACTGGTGAGTTTTGACCGTTCTTTGATGGCCTTGCTACCATTTTGAGGATACGATTGGAAGTTTTGTGCATCGATTATGGGTTTGATAGCGTTGGTGTAATATTCTATGTCATTAATGGATGAGATGGCAAAACAACCATACCCTTAAGCAGTTTACAAAAAAATTGAAAGGCAAAAATTTACTCTACGCATAAACATGAGTGTTGCTGGCGGGTGTTGGTGTTCGACATGACAAAACTAAAGATGGAAGCATCTTAGTTTCTTCTGCCTCTATGCTTCCTATTGAGATTTTCCTAAACTGATGTTAATAGAATGACTGACCATCTTTTGCAGACAAAAGCTAACCGCGTGATGTATATATGCTTCTTAGGTAAACATGAACCAGTTAAAGCTAGAGGTGACAGTTTGTTGGACCAAAGATGTCAAAACGAGTTTCAAGATGCTAAGATGGGAAGGGTTAAGAACAGAACAGTTGCAGTCACAATTTTATTATTGGGCCTACTTGTTTCGAGATTCTTAGAATAAGGGGTTTTACATCAAGCATAATTTTTCAGATTTGCTGAAAGATATAAAAACCTTGAGGATTGGTTGTAGAGCTGTAATTTTATTGACATAAGTAGGTTTAATACTTGTTTGATGAAGGAAGACCTTGGCCACTGTCCCATGGGTTCCACAAATAATCATCATGAAGATGTAAAAAGTTTTAAGCCCTGACAGTGATATTCTAAAGGGGAAAATTCACTTTACCTTTTGTGATTTTGCTTTGGAACGCTTTACCCTCTTATAGTTTAAATATATGCAAAGAACCCCCTTATGATTTTGCAAAGAACCTTCGTATGATTTTGGACTAAAGTGCAAAGGTAACTCTGTTATAAATAAGGATAAAATACTCCTGTAGTATATTCTCTTTCTCTCTTCTTTAATACATATAATTTTCTATCTTAATCACATATTTAACAAATAAAATCATAGTAAACTAAACACTCTAATTTATTACTATCATAAAATCACCTTAATCTAATTTTTTATTTTTAACCCAATTTCTTATTTAATAACATTTTAAATTAATTATAAAATTACCATAAATTAAACCATAAGATTAACCTAAGCACCTTAATTTATTTTCTTAAATTTATCTTAATCTAATTTTTAATTTTAATCTAATTTCTTATTTAATAAAATTTTAAAATAAGCATATATATGACTACTTAAATCATAAATTAAACTAAATACCCTAATTTATTACCATAAAAATTGCCTTATTTAATAACATTTTTAATTAAACATATGAATGTATATATTTAACAAATTAAATCACAAATTAAACAAAACACCCTAAATTATAAAAATTACATTGTTTAATAACATTTTAAATTAAACATATAAATATATGGGGGATGCACCAATAAATCCCAAATTAATAACTTATGCACTGTTTAGTCCTAAAAGTTTTCTTATAGATGGAAAGGTCCCATTACAATGTTAATAACATCAGATACAATGTTAATAACATCAGAGTCATGTTACAAACATTGGATTTCAAACATCTAATGTTCATCAAATTTCAATAATGTTTGAAAATATAGGATGAAAAACATCTAATGTTCATCAGATTTCAATAAATTTTGAAATTATAGAATGAAACATCAGATCATTTACATCATTCACATCAAGTTGATGTAAAAATGGGACTAAATGGAGCATAAGAAAACTTTTAGGACTAAATGGTTCAACGTTTCAAAAACTAGGACTTATGGGTAAATTTTCCTAAATATATATATATATATATATTTAACAACTTCAATAATAAATTAACCTAAAAATATATCTTAATTTATTACCGTAAAATTAAATCATAAAATTACCTTAATCCAATTTTTTAATTTTTAACCCAATTTATTATTTAATATTATTTTAAATTAAACATTTACATATATATACGTATATTAAATTAACCTAATTACTCTAATTTATTATCATAAAATTAACTTACTCTACTATTTAATTTTTAACCCAATTTCTCATTTAATAATATTTTAAATTAAATGAAATGAAATTATTTACTTTTTATAAAAGATGACAATTTGGGTTAGGGGTCGGTTAGGATTAAGATTTAATTTAGAGAACAAGATGAATATGAGGATATTATTGACATTTGATTCAATTTTTGATTTTGACTTAGAACCTTTGCATTGTCTACTCTCAATTTGAAAGAGGGTAACACAAAATTTTCCTATTAATAAGTGTAACACATCTTCTATTATATTTAACTGAAAAACTAACACTAGCACTTTAATTCAAAATTATAAAGGAAATCTCTATCCATATTTAAACCATAGAGAAATAAAATATTTCGTGACAAAACCATAAGAAGGATAAAGCGAATTTTACCCTAAATGGTATGAAATCAATCTGAATTTGGAGCTACTGAATTGTGGACAAAGCTCTGTTAATACTTAAATTTGAATTGAAAGCTTATAATTAGTCATCACATCCACTGGCCTTTATTGAACCATGTAATCATAATAATGTTCCAAGGATGTGACACAAGTAGAGTGCAAAAATTTCATTTGTTTTTCTCCCCATTGTAGACTAGAAAATGTTTATCATGCCTTAACATATGACAAATTTTCATTTCTCAAAGTCTTTAATTCCTAACAAGAAGACAACATTTTGATGGTTCTTTTCCTCCTCCTTTTTTACCAACAAGTACAAGAACTTGATTAACAAATTTTACTTTTTGTCTTACAAAAATGATGGCCTTAACACCATCTTCCATTCTTATTTTACTCTACAGTTGTAATTAAGGTGCACCTTGATCTGATCACATGTAAATCTTATCGCTAGATGTGTGCAAAAAAACTCACCTACGTAACCACCCAATCCGTCAATCCACACCAATCCGTGCTGCTACCGACGCTTTGAAAGTTTTGGTGGTTGGATTGGATGGGTTGCATACTAAATTTATGTAAGTTGAATTGCGTGCAATCTAAAATCTTCAACCCACTTACATAAACAACCCAACCCGCTAATTCTTATATATATATATATATATACATATAATCAGACAACTCAACTATAAATAAATCTTCCATTTTACTTTTGTACGGGGAGCAAATATTCCGGCAAGCTCGTACTCCTTTCTTCCGAGCTCCGTTTCTGTCCGATCACTTGCGAGCAAATAACGGTAAGCTACCCGGCGGTGTGTGGCCGGAAAAACCCTCCGACGATCAAGTTAGCACACACCTTAGGATAGAGAGAGAGAGAGAGAGAGAGAGAGAGAGAGAGAGAGAGAGAGAGAGAGGAGTGTTTGAGTGTAAAAATTCCTTACAAAAGTGTTCGTGTGTCCCGTATGGGGGGCGCAGACATGCTTATATACCCTCTGCGCCCCATACCCACTCCCAGTCATCTCCTGACACGTGGCTCCGCTATCCCATCTATCAGCATAAACCTTGCTGATCATCACCTAATCTCAACTGCCTGCCTTCTCAGCTGGAGCTCGGCAGCCGAGCTGCTCTATCCACGGTCGTGCTGTGCTTCATACCCAAGCACTTCACTGGCTAAGCCCAAGGAGGACCGGGCTAGGCGGCATCTCGGCATAGCCTAGCCCGGGACACCTCCTATGGTCGGCCTTCCTGCCGATCAAACGATTACCTCGCTGACCACGCCTTTCCGGGCGCCGATCACTCAGCTTGACAGGCTCTATCATCGCCTGATCAAGCAGCTCGGTCCAACCGAGCACTTCCTTGCCGAGCAGCTTCTTTAGGGTCTGGGGCGGCACATACTTGGCCCAACTCCTACCCGGCCCAAGTTCTGGCAGCCCATCCCCGGGCAGATCGCCGGTCATCTCGGCCCCATGCACCATTAGGCTCTCAACCTACTCGGCCGTTACCTCGGCCCAATTCCAGATCATAAATCTCCCTCTCAATTGCCCCTTAATTCCGTCCGCGAAAGCGTCACTAGGATTACTCACTTCGACCGAGATAACATTTCTTCGGTCTTCAAGATGCCAAAGGGCGACCGGGCTAGTTAACATAACTGTCTGCAAACTTGCCCGGTTACACTCCTCGGCTGACGTCCTCTTCTTCGAAAGTAGCCCGGTTGGCTCTTCGACTCTTCAACCTGTATCTTCAGTTCTGACATCGCCATAAATGGGGACACGTAGCGGGCTGCCATTGGTTCTCAAGCAGCTAACCCGCCGTTTTTGCCAGAATTTGAATTTGGGCGGTCTCTCTCTTGTCTATACATACAAGACCTCTTACTCAATTTCCTCCTACTGTCATTCTGCTATCCGACTCGCTAGAGCTCTAGCATCTTCGTCCAGGCCCCGCTTGCCATTCTCTGCTTTTGTGCTCGAAGGAAAAGTAGTTGCCCCTCAGTGGTAAGACCTTCAATCCCTCTTTTGTTGCTATTTTCTTTAATATTACACACAATAGGGCACTAAAACTTAGTTCTTAGGGCATAGGCCATAGAAACCGTCCCAAACCTCCCACTGTTCTTGGTGTTCTTTATTTTTCCTTATTTAATAACATTTTTAATTAAACATATGAATGTATATATTTAATAACATTTTTAATTCAACATATGAATGTATATATTTAACAAATTAAATCACAAATTAAACAAAACACCCTAAATTATAAAAATTACATTGTTTAATAACATTTTAAATTAAACATATAAATATATGGGGGATGCACCAATAAATCCCAAATTAATAACTTATGCACTGTTTAAAAAATGAATATGATAAGGCCTTGCATAAATACTGATAAGGGGTCTGTCAATTATTTTTGGGGGATGCACCAATAAATCCCAAATTAATAACTTATGCACTGTTTAGGCCTAGTTTGGCTACTTCCAAAAAAGTGCACTTATTTCATCTTTTTATCTTTTTTGGGTCACATCAATCAACATCTCCTCTCTACTTTTTCTACACATAATACAAAAAAAGTCAAAAAGTGCACTTATTTAGTCTTCCCAAACTAGGCCTTAGTCCTAAAAGTTTTCTTATAGACGGAAAGGTCCCATTACAATGTTAATAACATCAGATACAATGTTAATAACATCAGAGTCATGTTACAAACATTGGATTTCAAACATCTAATGTTCATCAAATTTCAATAATGCTTGAAAATATAGAATGAAAAACATCTAATGTTCATCAGATTTCAATAAATTTTGAAATTATAGAATGAAACATCAGATCATTTACATCATTCACATCAAGTTGATGTAAAAATGGGACTAAATGGAGCATAAGAAAACTTTTAGGATTAAATGGTTCAACGTTTCAAAAACTAGAACTTATGGGTAAATTTTCCATTATTTTTTGTTTAGTTAACCAGAAAATTGATTTGTTTTGTTTAGTTAATGGGTCTGTGAATTATTAAATTCACTCTAGTCCTTCATTCAATATAATTAAATTCCTAAATTCATTAAGCCCAGCCATGCCCAGCCCTAGTCCTTCATTCACTCTCTTTCTCACTCTCTTCCTCTTCTCTCTCTCATCTAAGATCCAAATCGTGAGGTAGATCAAAATCCAAATCCCATTGCCAGTCGCCACTCCTTCGTCGGAACTCCGACCCTCTCATCAATCGAAGACAAACCCTAAGCCGCTACTCCACTTGCACACTTTGCTGACGCCCCCGAAGGAGGCTACCCACTGCTGGCGTAGGCTTACGGAAACACCTTCGCATCTCTGTTGCCATTGTCTAATAATCCTTTACTCTTTTTTGATTTGTTTTTGCTGATTCCATTATAATATAGTTGCTTTGCTTCTCTTTTGATTTTGATCCTTTTGTATTAACATGGAAAAATTAGGGATTTTTTGCCCCCTTAATTAATGTGATTATTGTGCTTTTAAATTATGCAATAGGATGGAAGATGTTTTCTGGCAAGTTACTTGATTTCTTTTTGTTCTAAACCCGCAACAATACTAAAATCTTTGAGGTCTGCTTCAGGTTTGGATTTCCTTTCATTGATCCATTTTTGTACTTGTTGTTTTTTTTGTAATTTAATTAATTTTGACCTCATTCTGTTTAAGGCAACCACTACATGGTACACCTATTGGTTATGTTATTGTTTGATATAGTTTTACAATTTCAAGTCACCAAATAGTCTTTGAACTGTTTGTTAAAATGTCTGACCCAGAAATGTTTATTTTGAAATGATAAAGAAATGAAAATGCTATATGCTGATCAAGTCACCTGTTGGTTATGTTACTCTTGGTTTATTTTCTAACTCTAATGTTTAGGACAATTGATTTGGTGTATATATAATAAACCAATTATGAAAATCAATGTACTAAGAAATTAAGAATTGCTATTGTGATTGATAAGTAATACCTTGGGTTTTCTATTTCCAATCTAGCAGTATCCAATTAGATGAATGATTATCATAAATAAATAAACATTCATGGGTGATTAAATCTTTCTGCTACACCTGGTTTACTAGTTCTAATATGTCAACCTCAACTTTGATCCTGTGCTTATGAGGTGTTATTTATTTTCTGGAATCATCAAGGGGACCCAGTTTTTTGGCTACAGTTCTACATGTGAATCAAAGGAGACAGATTGCTACCTCTTTATTTATTTATTTATTTTTATCAATCATATATTTATATATTTCTTTAAAATGACTAAAGTGCTCCTGCCAAAAAGTGTCGTGCAACTTGAGATGAAAAAACAATTAGCCACTTTTGTAATTCTTTAGGAATGCCTTTGCCCTATTTTATTGGGATCAGAAAAACTTAAGACCTAGAAACACCCACTCTTCACATGCATGGGAGTGGCATTATACCATCTAAGCCACACATCAATGGCATTCTTTGGCCTGTTGAACCTGACCCATCATACAGTCTATTATTGGACATGTTCTAACAACTTAGTCCTACCAAGAAGCAAATTGCAAACCGAAGACATTAGTGAGAAATCTTCAAGGAAGGAACTTTTATGGAGGTAGATATGTGCACCTTTAGTCAGTTTTTTGATGTGCAGAATACCTTGTTTGAATTGGAGGAAAGAATGATTTTTTGTCTTTGAAATTAAGTATTGTTATTCATCCGACTGATGTGTTTGAATTTTTTTTTTACTCTGTTATTTGCTACAAATGAATGGAATACGGACACCTCATTATCAATACTGCCATATTCTCCAATATTCACAAAATACCCCAACCATAGCAAAATATTTGTTGATCTCATTGCATATGAAGATAAAATATGATTGCTTCTCCTATGGAAACTATCTCATCATATAATGTTTTCCATATTTTTCTGGAATATCTCATATAATGAACTCCTTGGTTTTCTATGCAGATAACCGTCAAGGGATATGCAGTATCAGGAGGTGGCCGTGCAATTGAGAGAGTAGATGTATCCATTAATGGTGGCAGAACCTGGGTAGAAGCATCCAGATACCAGAATGCGGACATTCCATACATTGCTGATAATGCAAGTAGTGACAAATGGGCCTACGTGTTTTTTGAGGCAAACGTTGATGTCCCTATGACTACTGAGATAGTTGCTAAAGCGGTATGTCTTCTTTGTTTCTTCTCATTATAGCATAACCTGCTTATATGTTGCAGGCTCTCTCAAATGCTTTAATAGAGGATGAACTCATTTATCTGAGGGCTCAATTTGAGCTATTGGAACCAAAAGATGGGTGTTTCTCACTCAATAATTTCAAAATGGTTAGTTGGTTATCTCTTTAAATTTAAATTTTGTAGAAGCTAGTCACACAATATGATATGGTTTTTTAATAATAAATGTATTTGCTAGTGTTCCTTGGTATTTGATTTCTTTTTTATGACTATTTATTTGACCTAAAAAAACTTGCAAGCCCTTACAAAAAATGTAACTGATGCCATGAAAGAGTCAAGGGTTCCTGATATTTTAAAACTAGTGAGACATGTCTATGTACTTGCAGTGACAAATTTGAAATTAGATTGACATGGATATTTATACAAAAAATACATATTTCTTTTTGTTTTTTTGATGTCTTATGTTGTTTTCTTCATTAAAGTTTCTGCATGCTATGAGATGGGTGATTGGGGTATAGGGTTCTATTGAGTGTTATGAATTGAGACCTGTTTCTCTGCCATGGTTTTCCTACAATGAACTTGTCGTACTTTTTATCACAGCAAGACACCTTAGCAAAGTACATAATCCAACAGTTTGAGTTAAAATTAAAGTAAAATAACATTAAAGCCATACATCCTAAAATGATGTAGTTTTGCCTCAACTTTAAATATAGGCCGTTGGATTACCACACCAAAACCATAATGATTGTGATGGTTATATGCTATAATACTAAAGAATTACACGATATCATATCAGTGAGGCATGTATACTATTAGTTTTTCATCTTCCCTTGTTCTCTGTTCAACTCGTAAAACCATAGATTTTTGATATAGATGAGATAGAACATTAAACTTGTTATTGGTTGCCATTCTATTGCCATTAAACGATATCATAGCAGACTTGTTTCATAAAATCAAAAAACAATGTTATGTGAAGGCATTGTACTCTGTTATGGATGTAACTTACCAAAGGTTGATCCCATGATCCATCATTACGAATTTCTATAATTTTTATCAGGTTACTCTAGGAATATGCCTGGATATAAAATATGTCAAGCATAATGAGTGAATAGCACATTTAGTATGTTTGTAATTAGCAACTCTCTGGCTTTAACGCAAAGAATGAACATATTCATGTTTGTACAACTCTGTAAAGTTAGGCTTGGCTACACATGCTACTGCAATTTTGGTCGAAGAAATTTCTAGTAAAACATGAACATTCATCAATAGCAACATGAACAATTTCACACCTAATGTCAAAGGCACAAGTAAAATAGTTCTTAGGCATCATTGATAATCTTTCTCACAACATGGAACAAACACATCAATGCAAAGAATCATGTAGATCATCCATATTTTTATTGGTGCAATAAATACATACACATGTTGATAAGTTACAGAGGCCATAATTTTGAAGTTAATGGTTTTCGTTTGTTGGAGCTAAAGCCACCATTCAAAAAGCAAATTTTTAATTGATACAAGTGGTTACAAGTGAAATCACCCATAAAATTCCATCCTAAGCTACAAGAGACTAGACCACAGTGACATTCACTAGCAAAAGGACACAAAAAATGCAACGAAGAGATGAAAATTCTAGAACATGAAGAAGTGTAGCCTTAATATGTGAGAAGATTGTGGGCCACTAATTCATTCATTCATGAAGAAGTGCTTGTGAAAAAAAAAACTTGACGATGTTGTTTAAACTCATGTTTATTATCTCTTTTAGAGGAAATGGAGCTAGTGTCCTTCGGATTGTTCCCTATGCAGCATTACATTTCATCATGAAATATGAGCAGTATCGCATTTGGATCTTGAACAATTACTCTGCCTTGGGAACGGGCCCCATGATAGTACTTTTCTACTCCTTTTTCATTGATTTGGTTATTTAGTTTTTGTGGGTCTAAATTTAACATTCTTCTTTTGTTATATGATGGAAATTAGGAATGGTGAATGGGGTGATCATGTCACTTTGCAGGCTGCTGCAAATTCTGTATGGTTCTGCGACTTCATTTTTTCTTTTCTCTTCATTATTAATATAGGCTTGTTGGTATTTTTTGTGTACTATCACTGTGGATGGGGGGTGAGGATTGTGTAACGCGGCCCAATGGGCTGTCAGCCATCAGATAATACAAATGCATACATAACTTTAGGAATTACCTTGTTAAAGATTATTTTGTAGATCTCTGTTTAATCTGATTAATAGCATATTCTAGAATTATATTATGACATATGACTGGCAAAGCGTATGATGTTGGACATTTAATGTTACAGCTATCAGCTCTATCTCAACTAGATTTGTTGGACTTGACCAAACATGAACTAACAAACTGTGTCCAAATTTTTTGTTTTTTGATCTATTGGTATCTGTTGTGCAACAGAATGTTGTTTGCCTGTTTAGTTATTCTGTTTCGATATAGTTGAAGTCTATCTAGATATTTCATGTTATGGTACTATACATTACACAGTTTGCCATTTGCCAACTTGCTTTAACCCTTTGCTTCAAAATATTTTGCAATCAAACCATCTTGATCATGATTACTTAGCTGCCCACCACTACTAGCAAGTGCATGCATGCATTGTTGATGTTCCCTTTGATGTGTGATGGTGGGTATAAATATTATGTGTCTTGTGGGATCACAATTTCGAATTCTTATAGCTATTCAGAGTTTACCATAATGACAAGTAAGTTGTGTGTGTGTGTGTTTTTATTTTTATTTTTTTTTTTGGGTGGTTTTGGACAGACGAAGTTATTTCAGAAAAATATATCTTGGAATATGGAACGGATTGTCTAGAGATGCATGTTGGAGCAGTTGAGCCTGATGAACGTGCTTTGGTGGTTGATGATTTGATTGCCACTGGTGGAACCCTCTGTGCAGCAATGAATTTACTGGGTACTCACTTGTAAATCATTTGTATTAGCTTTATGAGCCCCAGTAAAAGCACTGTCCTCTTTTACTTTTTCCTATATTTTAAAAAATTTATGTGGAAAATGCTTTGACTCATGGATATAAACAATTCCATATGTAGTGAGAAAACGAACCACCTGTTTATTAGTCATTGAACACAGGGACCCAATGAAGGGTTACCTGGACAAGGGCTACAACTTGGGCTATTTGGATCTGGGTGAAGGCCAAATACTATGCCAACCTTTAAAAAAAAAAAAAAAAAGGATTGAAGAGGCTGTTATCCAATTTACCTTGAGTCAAAGGTGTTCAGCGTCAATCATGTTGGTTAGGTTGTTTGGTTAGCCAAATAACAAAATTTACCATATGTTTGTTATAGACTTTCTCCTTCTTAATTCATCAAGCATTTTGCCCATTTAACAAAATGAATGTTTTGCTCCTATTTCTCAGGACTGAATTAATATGGAATTTGATGTTGCATACTTGTGTATTTTATTGATTGAGCATACCTCTTCAATTAAATTTTCGAAACCATATAGTATGCATTATGTATGCATGTGTAGCGACTGATACTGCCCTTGCTGCTGGAAATATATATATATATATCGTGCAAACCAGAATATATTGTGACTGATTTAATTTTTTTTGGTCAGAACGTGCAGGGGTTGAAGTTGTTGAATGCGCATGTGTAGTTGAATTACCAGATTTAAAGGTTTGTATGCAATGCACTCTTGGCCGCTTTCATTTCCTTAGCTGTTAGTTAGTTCTTCTGTGGTTTGGTTCTTAAATATCATCAATTGATTGTGATTCCTGCTTCTATAATTACTTGTTTTTATTGAAACTGTGCTCTGCTTATATGCTACCACTATCTCAGTTCCTTGACATTTATCTGAATTGATCAATTGACATTTATATGTTGCTGTTGCTGAGTTATGTGTTGAAACTTGGATATAGAAAATTTTATAATAAGACCTGTTTTGATAATGAATTCGTCCTATTTTGATTATGAATTCGCTAAATATTACAGGTGTATTATTTTCCTGCTTTGGCGACCAATTTATTAGTCGCGACAAATAAATTATTTTTTTTCGCGAAAAATGACAATTGCCGACCAAGAGTTTTGGTCGCAAAAAATACATCTATTGCCGACCAAAAATTTTGTTGGGTCGTGAAACTCACTTTTGCCGACCAACAGTTTTGGGTCGCGAAAAGTAACAATTGGCGACCAAACTGATTTTGGTCGCACAATGTCACAGTTGGCGACCAAATTTTTTTGTCGCGAAATGTCAACAATTGGCGACCAAACTTTTTTGGTCGCGAAATGTGTCAATTGGCAACTAAGAAATTTGGTCAACAAAAGGCGACTTTTCGCGACCAAAGTGTTTTAGCGACAAAATGAATTAGTCGGCGGTAATTAAATATTTATCGACCAAAAATTTAGTCGGCAAATCCAACTTTTGCCGACCAATGAAAATTTTGGTCGCGAATTACTTTTGCTGACCCTCAATTGGCGACCAAAAAAATTGGTCACGAAATAATTTTTGCCGACCAAAAATAGACTTTCAGCGACCAATTTTTTTGTTGCTAGATGTTAATTGTTTGTAGTGAAACAAACATGAAATGTTTTGTTCCAATTCAGGCGATCCAGTCTATACTTGTATGCTGTGCGCATCACATAGTAAATCTAGGCTAATAACTGGAATAAGAACGCATAATGTTTTCAAAAATAGATATCATGGTTAGTAGAGGCCAATCTTTGATCGGGCGAGCGGGGGTGCTCACGAGGTGACCTTCCCCAATCGTACCCAAGTTCCCGAGCCGAGGCAACTTTGGTGATGACGGACACGTGGCCTTAGGCAAACGAGTCAGGGTTTCCTAAATTTCCCTAAAATAAAATATTTAGGTGGTGACTCAGTATCTGGCAAAGCAGTCCATGTTTGGCACTTCTTTCAAAAAATCTGTTTTCTCAAAACGATTTGCCGGATTTGGACTCTTTGGTTCAGACTTAGAACCGTGACAATTTGAGAGTCCTGAGCTGTAGTGAGCCCAATATCGAACGGAACGGGGGTTAATCCCCCCCGGGGCGTTCGGGGACGTCTACAATCCGCCAAACCGCCAATCCGCTCAATCCGCATCCACCAGATTGGCGGACGGATGCGGATTGATTTTCTCCAATCCGCCAATCTGGCGGGCGAATGACGGATTGGAGGTTTCGTGGCCGCAACCGATCCGCGCCCACCCCTAATGCAGAGTAGATTATGCTTAATTAGAAAACGAGGCTAATGATATAATTGATAATTAAACTAATAAAAATTCTAAAAGCATAGAATTAAAACACATAAAGCGTAAATAAAATATATTATGTGATAAACTCAAGGGATTGACTGAGTGGTAAAAATTTGAGGATAAAATCTAATGTCTTAAATTCAAGTCATCCTAAGAGATCATTAAAAGTTTGCCTGGCATTTTCTTCATGTTATGAGCCCATTGAAAGTTTGCTTAGTTAGTCAAATTGTGTGCAAGCTAGCCGAATTCATTTTAGATGTGACATAGGCCAAATTAAAAATAAATTTCAACCACAACGTAATTTTATTTTTGAGTTCTAATTATGGACACACAAATCTAGTGAATTAATAATAATAATTAAAAAAAAAGTGATGCAATTGGCTAAAGAGAAAAAAAATAAAAATAAAAAACAAACACAAACACAAAAGCCTATGACAAACTTTGTTGGATGCCGACAAAATCAATAGGAAGGATCAAACAATGTCTCATAGTACTAATTTCTTGAAAATACACAAAACTTTCGGTTGTTACTTAAAATGCAAAGGTCAACTAATAATATTTTGTTTTATGGTTGTTAACTTGTTAGGTAAAAGAATTACAAATATTAATTGCACACAAAAGTTGAATTTTATTAATTAATGGAAATTGAAACAAGCAATAATGAGGGTTTGGTATCGTTTCATTTTCGATGTTTTGTTCTTTTGTTTTCTTTTTTAATTTTTCCAAAACACACAAAAATAAATAAATAAAGATAAAAAAATGAAAAATTTACCCGTCTTTATATCATTGAGCTGAATAAAAATTATCTTGAGTCTTAATTCAATTGCAAATGCTATTTTTATGTAAATTATAAATAGATCTCTGATAATGTTTATTAAAAATACAGATCCCCCTAATGTTTGAGAAGCTACATTTCATCCCTTGGGATTTCCAATCATCACATAATAAATGGCCTACAACGTTAATTAACCGTTAAATCATAATAACAGAGTGTATGACACAAGTAATAATTTTTTATTTTTTATATTTATGAAATTAGCTATATTAACCTTTATAGAGTTATACACTTTATTTATTTATTTATTTTTCTATCTCACCTTCCTTATTTCCCATTATCTCTCAACTAGTAAGAGCACTTTGCCTAACCATTGCATCACCTTCTCCCACTGTCAATCAACACCACTATCATTAGTAACTACATGTATTTGGTGTGTTGTTAAGAAGAATTAGGGAATATTATCGTGGTGTAGAGAGGAAAATTTAGTAGTTAGTATGATTATAATTTCATTTTTTGGTATTAGAGAGTGTTTGAGTAATTTATTTATGTTAGGTCTATTGCAAGAAAAATCCTAATAAGGGAGCATTTGTATTCTTCAAAACGTGAGGAGCGAATACATATTTTTGACAAATTTCAAGAGGTTTAATTGTAACTCATTTTTATTTTTATTTGGAGAAATCTAGAGTGTGCACCTTAAAAAGAGGCACATCATAAAAAATAAAAAAAAAAACATTGTGATTGTTTGTTTGTGGTGAAAGTTACGAATATTTATTGTGTATTATGTTTCTTCATAGTAAAATTTATTACTGATCTAAATATTTCTTGTGTGTGTTATGTCAGTTTATGATAAATGTTATTATTGATCTATGGTATGCACTCATAAAGTGAAAATTACCAACCATTGTAATTATGTAACAAATTGTGACTAATGTTATGAATTTTTTGTGATGATAAATATTGTGAATCATTTTGAGAAAAAAAAAAAAGGATATGAATCATTTTGAGATTTGATTTAAATATGAATTGCTCCATTTGATTTAAAAAATGGCATTCGGTCCATAAATCCAAATTCCAATTTTGTTTGGCCAAAGGTTTAGGAGTTAGAAAACTTTGTCCAAAAGGACAAGGTTAGACAAAATGATCAAAATATCCCTAGATATATATATATATATCACACACGATACTCACATAGACCAAACCCTTTTGTTTTTTCCATTCTTTTAACGAAACCCCTCTCTCTCTCTCTCTCTCTCTCTCTCTCTCTCTCTCTCTCTCTCTCTTCATGGTCAAAAACCTAACTTCGGTAGCATCTATCGTCGTATGCCTAAGATCTTCCGTCATGACTTCTTCGTTCAACAACTGCGGCAGCAACTACAAGCGATTTGACTCATCCATCATCCGGCGCTTCTGTTAGGGCTTTGATTACATCGTCACTATGGCTTTGAGCTCTCCACCGATTCACAACCCTGATACTCACAATTGAGCTCCGCTAGAACCTCCCTAAACATCTCTACCAACACACCCTCCGTCCTTCTTCACACCACCTTCTTCCTCTCATGCTCCACCCACCATCATATATTCGGCCGTCGCACATGGCGACGACCCTTCAGTGTCATTGTTTGAGTTGGAGAGAAGAACGAAGATCCGGAACACCACAACAACAACAACCGTTTGTAGTGTACAGCCAGAGTGCCTGATTCAAACCTCCAATCCCGGAATGCCTACTAGTCATCGTCGTCGACATTCGTTGACAAAACAACAACCCTATTCTCCAAATCATGATCAAACCCACTTTCACTCTCTCCTTCAACTTCTCTCTTCTCGTCTTCGAAACCCTAACATCAATAACTACTCACCTAACCCTAAATATCTCTCACTTTTTTTTTCCCAAGATTAGCGACAAGTTTCGTCCTTAACCCTTTTATTTCTTTTAGGTTCATATTAATTTCTTTTTAATTATTGCTTTTGATCTCTTAATTAAGTTGTTTTTGTGTGTGTGCGCGCATTTGTGTGTGTTGAATCTAAGTCGTTTGGTAGGTATTGTTGTGATGATTTGAATCTGGATGTTTTGAGAGCTATAGTGGTTCGGTAAGAGCGGAATAGCTTGGGGGCGTTAGGGTTTTGAAATTGGATTCCAAGAAAGTGAAATTATGTGGTTTACAGAGGTATGAGTTTTGACTTTGAATTGGGAAGACTGAGTTGATTTTCAAACATAGGAACGAGGTGGCTTCATGGAAGAAGATGAAAAAAAGAAGGAGATTCTGAATATTTGGTTAATGAGGCCTCAAATCTGTAAAAGCTGAACAACAAAGATTTGGAGCAATGCAGATTTGGTGGTCAGAAGGTGTTAGCGTCAAAGCACGCCTTTGGTTCTATTTCTATGAGATCGGAGTTCGTTGCATGTAACGCCCTCAAATTTAACCCATTATATATCATTGACATGCATTATTTAAAGAAGACATTTTATTAATTCATTCATCAGAGTATTACTAAATAATCGAATAAAATGCCCTACAGGCTTACATCTTTCCAAGCCAACACTTGGATACAAAAATACGAGTTCTAACTCAATACAAGAAAAGCCCTAGGCTTGAGTGTTTACATGTACTAACAAATAAAAGCAAACAACAGAAAAATAGTCTTCAGAATCCAAGTCCTTCCAAGCTAAGTCCTTGGAGGTAGCTTATCCCCTGAACCTGAAAATGATGTTCCCATAAAGAGTGAGCCACAGCCCAGTAGAAATATACTAAACCAAATATAAGCAATGAATAAAGCAATAGCATTCAACAGATGGTCAACCAAAATAATC